GTTAGTTAACGGAGTGCCATGCACAAGACTAGTCGGTGATGTGTAACCATCCCGCAGAAGGATACTTAACCCTCTCGAAGGACTCCTGTCTTGTTACGGGCTCACCATAGCCCGTGCTACCTGGACATTTCGTTCTGAGTAGCTAAATCTAAAACTACTACTACTGTCTTAACATTGGTTTATGACGTCACTGTACAGCGGTTTATGACGTCACTGTACAGCGGTTTATGACGTCACTGTACAGCGGTTTATGATTATGACGTCACTGTACAGCTTCCTAATCACTGCCACAATTACAAAGGGATTACAGGAGTTTCAATGTGGATACTCGGAATATCGATTATATGCCATTTGTGGATTGTACTCACAAGTATAAATATCTCCTACACATGGAATGATGCCATACTCTGCGGCACGCGTGAGGGTTGCCATCAATGGAGGACACGACAGGTTTGATTTCAGAATATCTGTAGTATCTCAGACTCTACCGCGACCTGAACAAATCCACAACGGCCGTGACGAGGATTCGAACCTGCGTCCGAGAGCATCCCAGACGCTGCCTTAATCGACTGGGATAAGGCAGCGTCTGGGGATGCTCTCGGACGCAGGTTCGAATCGTCGTCACGGCCCTTGTGGATTTGTTCATTTGATGCATCACGCAATTGTGATTTGTGTCTACCTCCACCTGCTCCAGGTGCTCGCAGGCACACCACACTGGGCTACTGAAGTAGTGTACCACATCATATTGTTTGAATGTGTGATAATGGTGTGATAGAATACTTAAGAACTAGTAACACTTTGCCTCATACCTCAAGAGTGTAACACTTATACGCTGTGTTTACTATATTAACCTGTGATGTAAAATGTTATTCATGTACTGTGATTTGTGGATTGTACTCACTGGATTTGTGCGCCCCTTTGAGGGACTTGAAGTAGAGGGTGGTAGAAGTAACCTAAGCTACTCTATCCTTCTGAGATGTATTTTATTGTCTCGATAAACGTACTTGAACTGGGCTACTGTATGGCCAGTCCTCGTCTCGTTTATACAAAAAATAGGACGTATTTACGCCTTTCTCCACACAGGTATTTCACACCTTCGTCGCTGTGACCGCTGGTGGCTTAAACACCGCAGTAATTAGTGTCGCGACAGCTCATGGTTGGAGGAAATTAACGAAGAGGAGGAGGAGGAGGATGTAACTTCAATCTGCTGTCGGATGGTCGTAAGTGAACGGCGGTCACAACTGAGGGTCAGGTGTTAGTGAATAACCACGGTTACTCTCGTAATTGTTACCAGTAACGCCCTCGTGTCGCAGTAACCCACAAATGATCCCTGGCTTGCGAGAATATAGTAACGATAATTCAGACGGAGTTACTTGATGCACGGGATAGAACACACACATCTGTCGTAGCTGTCGCTCTAATGATGAACCTTGCCTCTCACAGCTGAAGCTGGCTGCTTGCTATCCTTAATGAACCTCAATATGAATCCACCAATGAAAGAGCAGCAGGTACACTTGCGTATCTCCTGATTAGTTCCTTCCGAGCATGACGTCATTGGTGTGAGGAGATCCGGGCATTTAGGCCAAGCCTTGGTGCTGAGGTCAGGTCAGTTCACCTTCCTACTAGTCACCTCACTTTGTACCACTTCCCTCCGTCCAAGATGACAGCTCCACCTACAGGGTTATCTTGAGAGGTTATCTTTAGATGATTTCGGGGCTTAGCGTCTCTGTGGCCCGGTCTTCGATCAGGCCTCCTTTTTGTTACCCCCCTCCCCCAGGAAGCAGCCGTAGCAGCTGTCAATCTCCCAGGTACCTATTTACTACTAGGTAACAGGTGCATCAGGGTGAAAGAAACTTGTGTCCATTTGTTTCCGCCTCCACCTGGGATCGAACCCGGAGCCTCAGGACTACGAATCCGAGCGCTGTCCACTCGGCTCTCAGGCCCCTTGCGATATGCTATCTTCTTGAGGTTATCTTGAGATGATTTCGGGGCTTTAGTGTCCCCGCGGCCCGGTCCTCGACCAGGCCTCCACCCCCAGGAAGCAGCCCGTGACAGCTGACTAACACCCAGGTACCTATTTTACTGCTAGGTAACAGGGGCATAGGGTGAAAGAAACTGCCCATTGTTTCTCGCCGGCGCCCGGGATCGAACCCGGGACCACAGGATCACAAGTACAGCGTGCTGTCCGCTCGGCCGACCGGCTCCCCTAGCCGGTCGCTAGCTCAAGCTTACGTATACTCCGTACTCAAGCTCATACTCAAGCTTGGGTATGTGCAAGCTCAGTAGGGTTTCCCCTGACCTTGTGGCATAACCCGATATGACAGGATGAACAACCCAGCGGGTTTTCTTCCTATTGGGGAGTGTTGTACATGCTGCTATGGCGGTGTGTCCACTCACAAGATGAGTGGCGCTGCCCAATACTGTCACTATGGCGGTGTGTCCACTCACAAGATGAGTGGCGCTGCCCAATAAACTCGCCCCTCGGGGCAAAATTAAATTAAATTATAACCTGATATAGTACGCTGGGCATCATACACTATGAAGACTCCACACGAGAACAGCTCTCCAGAGATGCCCCACTTCATGGTAATCCAATCTGAACTAAGGCTATTCGTATTATTGTGCACCTTAAGTGCACCAGGCACTTGAAAATTGCGTGCGCACTTTAGCTGAGAAAACACTACAGGCCAGTTTCCCCTAACTTGTATACCATGCAAGGCGATGGAGAAGATTGTCAGGAAAAGCCTCGTTGAGCATCTGGAGGAAAATAGCTTTGTAACACATCACCAGCATGGGTTCAGGGATGGTAAATCGTGTCTCACAAGTTTAATAGTATTCTATGACCAGGCAACAAAAATTAGGCAAGAAAGAGAAGGGTGGGCCGACTGCATTTTCTTGGACTGTCAGAAAGCCTTTGACACAGTGCCCCCATAAAAAGCTCTTAAAAAAGTCGGAACAACAGGCAGGAGTAAAAGGAAAGGTACTACAGTGGATAAGGGAGTACTGTATCTAAGCTACAGGAAACAGCGAGTAACGGTGAGGGGGGAGACAACAGAGTGACGAGATGTCACCAGCGGAGTCCCACAGGGCTCAGTACTTGCACCCATCCTGTTTCTAATATATGTAAACGATCTTCTAGAGGGTATAAACTCATTCCTCTCAATGTTTGTTGATGATGCACAAATTGAGAAGAATCAAGACAAATGAAGATAGACAGCGACTACAGGACGACCTGAACAAACTGGAGGAATGGTCTAGAAAATGACTACAAGTTCCTGAGTTGAACTTTAGTAAAGTAATGAAATTAGGCGAAGGGAGCAGAAGGCTGAACACGAGGTACCATCTGGGAGGTGAAATCCTGCAAGAGTCAAATAGAAAGATCTGGGGGTTGATATCACACCGAGCTTGTCCCCCAGAAACCCACATCAAAAGGATATCAGCGGCATATGCTAGATTGGCCAACATACGAAATGCCTTCAGAAACTTGTGTAAGGAATCGTTCAGGACCTTGTATACTAATGTCAGACCAATCCTGGAATATGCAGCTCCAGCCTGGAATCCATACCTAGTTAAACACAAGACAAAGTTAGAGAAGATTCGGAGATATACCACCACACAAGTCCCGGAACTGAGAGGTATGAGCTACGAGGGAAGGCTAAGGGAGCTAAACCTCACATCCCTGGAAAACAGAAGAGTAAGGGGAGACATGATAACCACCTACAAAATTCCGAGGGAATTGGCAGTGTAGACAAAGACAAACTATTTAACACGGGTGGAACACGAACAAGGGGACACAAGTGGAAACATAGTACCCAAATGAGTCACAGGGACATTAGAAAGAACTTTTTCAGTGTCAGAGTAGCTAACAGATGTAATGCATTAAGCAGTGATGTGGTGGAGGCTGACTCCATACACAGTTTCAAGTGAAGATATGATAGAGCCCAGTAGGCTCAGGAATCTGTACAGCAGTTGATTGACAGTTGAGAGGCGGGACCAAAGAGCCAGAGCTCAACCCCCGCAAGCACATCTAGGTGAGTACACACAGATACACACACACACACACACACACACACAGACAGAGGCCACTGAGAGAGGGAAGTAAGAGCAGGGGGAGGTTGCTGGGGGGAGGGGTCCCGTTGGTAGGGGGTGGCTGCTTGGTAGGGTAGAGGGGGTTTATGAGGAAAGGGGATCCCAGGGAGGGAAGGGTAGGGGGGGGGGGGCGGGGGTTGTTGCTGGGACGGTCGCTCTGGGTGGGAGGCGGTGGGAGGGCGCTGGGATGGGAGGGTACGGGGATGATTCCGGAAGGGGAGTTTCTTGGGTAACGATGTTTTGTATGTAAGCTAAAAATGACTTTCTGGGTTCGTAACATTATAGAATAGCTTGAGATACCTGTTGAGATAATGAGTTGTCGTCTTAGGCTTGTATTTGATGCGTTGTTCATGGAATACGTAATACTGACTACAGCCTCCGGATAATGAGTAAATGAAAGTTTTCCCATCTTTTAATTTTTTATTTATTTATATATGAGACTTCTTACATTCTTGTAAAGCCACTAGCACGCATAGCATTTCGGGCAGGTCCATAAGTCAAAAATTTTCTCCGGACTACAGTTAAGGATTGGTGCCTAGTCAACCCTCTCCCGGCCAGGATACGAACCCAGGCTAAAGCTTGGGGAAGTGCCTGGTGAGTGCTTTACCACTGCGGCACGGGGACATTACAAGACATTTTAAAACAGCAAGAATTTCTTGAATGTGTCATAACGAAACGCCAATCTAAATGACGGCTTTACAGTTAAGACGCATTGTTATTCTGATCTAGCCGTACAAAACGCAGGATTTGGTAAACATTTCCTCATTGCGAGGGACTGTTCAGGAGCTGGGTGACGAGGATCACGTGGGTGGGGGTTGGTAGCCCTGGAGCGTGACGTCATGAACCATGGGGCCAATGGGAGAGGTCGGGGCGGGGCTCCAGGAGTGATGGTGTGTTTTATATCTCTGTGCTGTAGTTTAGAGACTCAGTCGAACATCAGACGCCAAGGTGTCCACACGAAAGCACGGTCGTTGTCAGAATTCCATGTACAGTGTAAGATAAATTCTGACATGTACAAGGTACGTCAGTGATCACGCCGCCATATATTTGTGGATTACGCGTTACATACGAACGTGCACGTTTTTTGTGATACTGTGAAAGTGTAAAGATTCAAAATAAACTACGGGTTTACTTCTACAAGATGTCCCCTGGCATACCCCAAGACGCCAGCCTACTTGAACTACACGCCGACGTAAGATCATATACCTGGACTGTTTCTTAGACTGTTCTGTTCTGTTCTGTAATAAGATCTCATTGTACTACAGCTTTTGGAACTGTCACAATACTACTACTACTGCTTGTGAGGTATTGTCAGAAAAGCAAACTGCAGAATGTTTACTCCTATTCATTTTCACTTTCGCGATGAATCAGTCGCAACTCGCCCGACTAAAATCTTAAACTTAGAACGACCCTTGACCCCACACTTACTGACATTCTTTTTACCCGGTGTGCGCTAGTCTCTGTGTCACACGCCTGCCTCACCTGGTTCCATGTGATGCTCTTGGAACATCACAAGAGTCAGGTGGGAGGCTGGCTCCTTCAAGGAGGGGTCTTGGGACCGCAGGTTTTCCGGTGTGACGACTCCAGCAGACGACTGTCTTTGATGTCTGGATGTGTGCCCCGTACGCTTGTAGTATCTCTTAATTATAATTAACACATTTCTACTTATTTAGATTCAAACCATTTTTTCCTTTGATTAAAATTTGTAATGCTTGACTTATTTTTACTGTTTGTCATGTGACACATTTTTTTAAATTTGCTTTGTATGGTGTGTATAATGAATATACAATGAATATAGTTCTTAGATAATTGTTTTGTTTTAAGATTATTTTTGTTGGGTCAAAATGAAAGCTTGCCAAGTTTAGAGTTGCATATGGAAGTAGGCTACAATGTCGTATTTTGAAAGGCACAAAATTTCTATTTACCTTAGTTTTATCTAGCGGGTTGGTATTGAGTTATTGCTTTATGTAGCGGGTTGGTATTGAGTTATTGCTTTATGTAGCGGGTTGGTATTGAGTTAATGCTTTATCTAGCGGGTTGGTTGGTAATGCTTTATGTTATTGAGTGCTTTATGTAGCGGGTTGGTATTGAGCGGGTTATTGAGTTAATGCTTTATCTAGCGGGTTGGTATTGAGTTAATGCTTTATCTAGCGGGTTGGTATTGAGTTATTTTATCTAGCGGGTTGGTATTGAGTTAATGCTTTATCTAGCGGGTTGGTATTGAGTTAATGCTTTATCTAGCGGGTTGGTATTGAGTTATTGCTTTATCTAGCGGGTTGGTATTGAGTTAATGCTTTATCTAGCGGGTTGGTATTGAGTTAATGCTTTATCTAGCGGGTTGGTATTGAGTTAATGCTTTATCTAGCGGGTTGGTATTGAGTTAATGCTTTATCTAGCGGGTTGGTATTGAGTTAATGCTTTATCTAGCGGGTTGGTATTGAGTTAATGCTTTATCTAGCGGGTTGGTATTGAGTTATTGCTTTATCTAGCGGGTTGGTATTGAGTTAATGCTTTATCTAGCGGGTTGGTATTGAGTTAATGCTTTATCTAGCGGGTTGGTATTGAGTTATTGCTTTATGTAGCGGGTTGGTATTGAGTTAATGCTTTATCTAGCGGGTTGGTATTGAGTTATTGCTTTATCTAGCTTATTGATTATTGCTTTATGTAGCGGGTTGGTATTGAGTTAATGCTTTATCTAGCGGGTTGGTATTGAGTTATTGCTTTATCTAGCGGGTTGGTATTGAGTTATTGCTTTATCTAGCGGGTTGGTATTGAGTTATTGCTTTATCTAGCGGGTTGGTATTGAGTTATTGCTTTATCTAGCGGGTTGGTATTGAGTTATTGCTTTATCTAGCGGGTTGGTATTGAGTTATTGCTTTATCTAGCGGGTTGGTATTGAGTTATTGCTTTATCTAGCGGGTTGGTATTGAGTTATTGCTTTATCTAGCGGGTTGGTATTGAGTTATTGCTTTATCTAGCGGGTTGGTATTGAGTTATTGCCTGGATAGTGCTTGAATGCTTCATTGATAGCGGGCATGAAGTGCCTCATATGACGAGGGTGTGCTTCCTCGGTTGTTATTGGGGTGATTGTGCTCAACATGAAGTGCTTGGTGGTAGTGGTGATGGTGGTGGTTGGGGGGGGGGAGGGATGAGTGCCCCTTAGGGGAGGAAGTGAGCCTGCTTGCTGGTGGGTGTTGTGGGGCACCCAGGCTGCCTCACCCTCCCATTTTTTTTTTTTTTACTTCGTCTCGCCACCAGCAAGCGTCCGACCTCCTTGCCCTCTCCCCCTCACTTGTATACACATCACCCACATACGTACATGCACGCCGCACGCAACCCACTCAAAACTCAAACTAAACAACGCACACAACCCACACAGGTCCAGAACATGTAGCTTCTTGCTACGTCAGTGATGTTATGGACGTGCCTTTTTTAATTTTGTATTTATTGTCTTATTGATATATGAGATTTTACATTCTTGTATGCATAAATCCCTTGCATGGAAGTTTAGGATGATTGTTTCTACGGGTATTTAGTGTGGGATTGTGATGGCTTTTAGAGCCCAGGATCAGTGCTCCACCAGACTTAGACGCCTTGGGCACTGGCTGCGGGAATATCAACCCTTGAACATGAGTGCAGCGTATCGTTTAACATGTTCCTCGACTCCCTGCAGGAGAGGGAGGGATGTATTTGTACGTTGGTTCGAATTCCTCCTTATGCTGTGACTTTAATAATGCATCGCCAACAGCACCCGATGGAGCTTTAATGACTACAATCATTCAAACCCATGTTCTTGGATTATATTGATCTGGCAACCAACTGCTACACCCAGTGCGTGCATAGTTGGGAATCGACACCCCTCTGTCCTTGGATAACATGAATCACTCCATGACCCGACCGTTCTACTACTGCTCTTATGGGGAGTTTGTGGCTTAGCGAGGATTTGTAACTCACGTTCTTGAATGGCGTTAATTAAGAGTCAACAAATGCAGCCAGGAGAAATAACCGTTCTTTAAGAGGGTTGATGTTAAAGTGTGTGGTGGTTTCTGGCCAATCGTCAGAAACAGCACTTGTGTAGATTATTTTTAAGTTGCCAATTGTAGTCTGGGAGATGCTCTTGATATTGCCACCTAATGGTTGTATTAGTTTTGCTTGGTTCGTTCCATCTGTACGTGAATGATGGGAGAAGTGTTGAGCTTAATAATCCCTGTGGCAGTGGTGCCACGCTCGCCAATGCCTGGGATGGGTTCGTAACTTTGGCAAGGAGGCTTATCTGGGCACCAATCTGTAACTGTGCCTCTATTTACCGTATGGGTTAAAACAAACAAAAAAATATACCGTTCTAGGTCTTGGCTAGACACACACAAACTACTAAAATAAGATGTGTTCATACTGTGTGCAGTATAACGTCACTGTGACGTCATCGGCTTTCTTCCACTGGCTTTCATTTATACTGCGGCTTAACCCAGCAATAATTGGGGACCCGGCTGTAAACCAATTAGCGGGCCCTGTTCCTGGGAAAACGACTAGGGCAAGGTTATGACTTCTGGGTCTACCAACAAATAGCCATTCATCATCTCCTGTGCCTACTTGCATTAACAAAAAAGCCTAGTAGGTAAACTTAATTAACAAGGTTATTGTATTTTCACGTAAGGCATATTTTTATTATTGCGTGTTCTTCTTAGAATTAGTAAATGTTGAGTCAATTGCTGTATTATTACACAGTTGGGGCCTGTTTTATCAAGTGATTTCTTTTGATGCAAGTTGCCCTATTTTAGATGTGCGATTAAAAGACGAGTGCTAATTGGTGCGAATTGATTGACACTTTCACAGGCTACCTGCCAACTTGCATTGCAATTTAATGTTTGTGGGGCTGCTACATTTGTAATTGAATAATATAAATATATAAGGTTATATATTCAGGAAAGTACCCCGTAGAGATTTGGGTTAAAAAGAGGGCTTGCCTTTAATTTTTTTTTAAATTTTCCCCAAGTGTAGAGTTTATTAGCCACCATCACTCATTCTGTGAGAGAACAGGCCTCCATATTGAAGAAAAATTAGCTGGGTTGATCATCCTGTCAATCTGTATGGGCCTGATTTATATCTTGGTAGTCATTTTGGGGTACTATCAAATAGTACAAAGGCCTGTCAAAAATACATTAGATTTAATTGTTAAAACCGTACATTAGTGCTGTATATACGGTTAGGCTAGTCTTCGGTACGAAGTGACCTTTATACGCCCTTTGTAGGTACATAGTTACAAGCATTTCACACAATTTCATCAATAAATGCTCGTTTTTTGTAACAATAACAATTTATCATTATATTTTATGGTGATTAATGTATAGGTGAGGCACAAAAGGTTTTAAAATTGTTCTGGCATTGATAAGCAGTAGCTGTACCTACCTTATTGGCTAGGCTTGTGCAGGTTATTTCAATGAAGACAAGCATTTTAATTGTAATGTTATGAGTATTAGGTTTGTGATTATTACGCCTAAAGTAGGTTAGTGCCGACATTCCAAAGGGCAGAGATTTAATTGGCCATAGCATCATGTACAACATCCCCAATAGGAAGAAAACCCGCTGGGTTGTTCATCCTTTTGAGAACTGAAGAGACTGCCCTGTTGAAAACGGACACCCTGTGCTCTGAGAGACTTCTCATGCAGAGGAACAAAGGATGTCACTGGAAGCACATTGACTTGTGTTAACTTTAGCCAGTGCAGAGTGAAAACTGATACAATACCCTGAAATGCCTGAGGCATTTGTTTTTTGGATTTTGTTGCCGTTTTGTGATGTACATTGCACGTTTGGTGGGATTTTATACATGTATATGAGAATTGTTTGTAAGAGTTTGGGGGGTTATCGTTAATAATGGAATACAGTATTTTGATCTTGACACAATTAGCCTACTAATTATAAACAATTAGTCTTAGTAATAATAATTAAGGTATAAACCGAGGTGTGTACTTTATGTACTGTCACCGAGTACACATGGTTGTCTGTAACTCTACATAACGTTGTTATTAATTTACACATAGCTTGATGAGCGAGTTAGCATACGACATTAGTAGTAAAATAGCTTGACAACTAATTTAAAAGAAACCAAAGGAAATAGTATGTAGTCTCTTGATAGGCTTCATTGAGGGTTGAGTGAGAACTGGCAGATACAAGCGTAGGATAGCAGTGAAATGT